ACCTCCAACAGAAAAGCTCCTGTCAGACTCCCACACTCACCCTGTCCCAGTGGGAAGGGAAGAAATCAAGGAGAGAGCAGGCAGAGGTTACTGGGTATTTCGTTGCTGGCAGGGGGTATAAGAGAAGGGGTGGTTGGAAAGTCACAGAGGTGGTGCTCTTATGAAAGCTGTGTCTCTTTCGTTCCCTTTTCCTTTCACACTTCTCCAGACTGCTTAAATAGATAGAAAAGAGGGAACATCATGACCTACAGGCAAAGAAAGAGGTGAGCAAAGTCAAAATGCATGCTTAAGTGTTCTCTCGATCCTTTGCGTTTGGTGTTGGGTTTCTGAGAAAAGAGCCCAGACAGCAGTTGGGAATCAGAGGAACACACTGTATGTTTCAGATCGAATTCTTTGTCTAGTATTGAGCACAGCACCTTTTTCCTCAGAATAATACAAAATTAAAGGTGGGGTATGTGATTTTCTTTTTTTGACCATTTTTTCAAAATCACTTGAAATCCTATTCCTAACCCACTTACAGCCACTGAGTGAGAAGCACTGAAATGAAAATTAAGCAATTTAATAATCTGTTGAAACGGGCAGGGCTCAAAACTACAGCCAATCATTTCCAAGACCACCTACAATCATTGGACAGAAAATGCATCAATCAAACGATCGTACCATACCCCCCTCCCCCCATCCCCTTCGTGCGCATACTCAAAGCTCGTGACCCAGTCACATTAAGTGCAAGTCGCCACATTAAGTGCAAGTCGCCCCGGTACAAAGAGAGAGAGAGTAAGTGCAATCTCGCACATCTGAGTTTTGCAGATTCAATATTGTGCGTCCATGTTCTTCGAATGGGTGGAGTCAGGGCCAGCGTTGGAGGAAAGAAGGTAGGACCTTTTGAGTTGTGTATTTTCAAAATCTGCCAGCCGTTTTGCAAATCCCATAGCATACCTTTAACAACCATTTTTGTGAAGCAACATTCAGCATTTGTTTTCTCATTTTACCTTTATTTTGTATTTGGTCAGTTTTCCTATTTATTATTATTTAAAAAAAAATTAAAAAGTGGCATCAGCAACCCTTTTATTTTCATAATGAGACATTTTTGTGAAACAGAATATATATATATATATATATATATATATATATATATATATATATATATATATATATATATATATATATATATATATATATAAATTCTCATATTACTTTCATTTAGTCTTTTTATTCTTTGGATTTTTCACTTTTTTGTTGTAGTGAAGGACTAGTTCACCCAAAAATTAACCCATCATTTTTTTTTCATAATTTACTCACCCTCAAGCCATCCTAGGTGTATATGATTTTGTTCTTTCAGCCAAACACAGAGTTATATTAAATAATATCAGAAATTAAAATTTTTAATTTAACAGAATATTAAAGACTTTTTTTTCTAACATATTTTCTTCTCTCTCTCTCTCTCTCTCTCTCTCTCTCTCTCTCTCTCTCTCTCTCTCTCTCTCTCTCTCTCTCTCTCTCTCTCTCTCTCTTCTCTCTCTCTCTCTCTCTCTCTCTCTCTCAAAGTGATCAGTGAAATTTACTAAATAAAACTAATTTATCTCTAATATTTGGAAGTTCATTACAATTATGCATTTAAGTACTGTGTAATAATAATTGAATACATGTATAGGGTTAGTTGCATGCAATTATTCGTAATTTATAGTTATTTCTATAGTAACTACATGTAACGTGTAAAAAAGACAATGTAAAATAGTGTTACCAAATAGTTTTTTATTTAAAAGGCAGTAACTGCACTTGCTGAAGCAGTGGTAGTCTCTTTGTTAGTATCATTAATACATGCATGTGTGAGGTCACTTAATGATTCTAATTTTAATAGTTTTAAGCAATACAGAGAAGTTACAGTTACACAAAGTATTGAATGGAGTGTAGAGTTTAATTGTCTTTCTTTTTAGTGAACTCAAATGAAAAATGTTCACAGTACTCATAACTATTGCATTCTAAACTTTAAATGGATTTATGCAATCAGTTTACAAATATATTCCACATATCAAAATCAGTTTCTCAGAATATCTTATTTTGTGTTCTGCAGAAAGAAAGTAAGTCCTACTGGTTTGGAATGACATGAGGGTCAGTAGATGACAATTTAAATTTTTGGGTGGACTATCCCTTTAAGAACTTCATCTGTACAAGAGCTGTAGCTAGCCCTCTCTGTGGATATTGTAAATGTTAACCATCATGTGTTTTGTGGTGGAAACCCATAGTAAAGTAGGGTTAGAGTTTGGCTCTCAAAGGACTGAAGTTGCTTAGGCTGCGTTTTTGTGTGTGTTTGTGCATTGCACTAGCTATCGTCTTGTCAAGAGACTCTCAGGAGAGAGAGAGAGAGAGAGAGGAGGGAGAGCTCAGCTGCTGCAGCTGCAGTGGAGTCATCACAGCCAGAGAGAGAACAGGCCAGCTCTGTCTGCATCACTGCTCCTGCATGCATGATCGGCTAACCACCTATGTGCCAATCAGTAGTTTTAATTGGTAAAGGAGGGCAGAATGTCGCCTGTAGCAATCATACGGAACAGTTCCATCATCTCCTCCGTGTCCTCCTCCCTGTGCTGCCCACACCGTCTTTCATGCAGTCGGAGTTGTGTGCTCTTCATGAGTTTGTAAAGACATTTATGCTCTCTGGGGGTGCTTTGGAAATAAAAAGCATGCTCATGATTTTAGACATCAGGCTCTGAGAACAAAAGCACTGGTAAAAATTAGACCATGCGATTACTATGCGCTGTTCATGACTGGAACTAGGCATCACATTTGTGTGAAGTCGAGCTTTTCCCGGGCAGTTTTTGCAATCTGCAATCACACTTTCCATATGATTCTAAATTCTTTCTTTCATCTTCAGATTTTCCATATTTTATTATGCCAATGAAATTGGAGAGCCTCGTCATAGATTCCTAGTTGTTGTACATGTTATTCTCACAATGGCAGTACATTATTCATAATTCATTGATTCTTCATACTATTTTTTGTTTTATCCCTTCAATTTTCCTTTCTTAAAAAGCTCACTCCTTATATACATTTAGAAGGTCTTTCAGGTTTGTGGAATTGTGGCCTATAGAGGGCACAAAAGGATAAGAAATCTTTGAAGTTCACCTTTACGCTGCATTGCCAACAGTTTAAATGACAAATAAACGCATATTTCGAGAGCGCTCCACCAGATATGTTTGATTTTACCATCTGGATGCTTAAAATTGATCAGTTGAATGCACGTTTTTATACAGCTTTTGTACAAGTTAATCGCCGTTCTAAACTAATGTGCTGGCTGCATTGTAAATCACACACATACAAGACCGTAAGCTCACATATCATGTGCAGATCGCGCCCAAACACTCAGGAGCGCAGAAATGTATTGTCAACACTGTTCTGTGATTTATCATTAAAATAGTTTCGAAACTGAAAAGTTCTAGCATATATTTCTTAGTAACTAAAACCCACAGCTTCTCTATTAGTAGAGAGATGGTGACAGGTAGAATTAATTCACACGCAATCACTCTTTCACTTATGCATTCATAAAAATGTAATCTTTGCTACTTAATCTGTATCTGATTTTGAACGAGCAGAAATCTGTGAGAAATATAACGACCCAAAGACAGAATGACTCATAAAAATAAGCTGTTTTGTAGGAGCAATTGTGCACAGTATCATATGCCATAGCTGTGCACAAGGTAACCCGCGTTCGAGTCTCAGCTTGAGGTTCAGGCTTATTTGTTCATTAATGTTGTCATCAGCAACTAGTCGACTCGACTTTAATCACATAAATGTTGAAAAATTAAGTCGTTCAACCCCTAATATTCATTCATTCATTCATCCATGCATGCATGCATGCATACATACATACACATCTTGACCCACCACATGATAAACACTGAGCTACACCATCTTGACCGGGCTGGGAGACCATCTTAGACCAGCTAAGACCAGCTGTCTGTAAACAAGGCTAAACTGGTTTTCTGGTCTTGCCTGTTTTTTTCCGGCTGGTTAGGCAACATTTTAAGCCACAATAGGTGAACCCCCTTCATAAAACTATTTTATTCAGTATTAAAAAGTATCACAAAGTTATTAGCTTACCATCATGTTAATGTCAATCTCTATTGGAATGAACTTAATCTTTAGCATTAGACAGGGCTCTTAAGCTCTTCATGTGAGTAGCGGTATTTGTTTGGCTTGTATGAATGGATTTAAATCAGACTTGCATTTTGATTTAGATGTCAAACTTAGAAGGTAGCAGCTGATGTAGAGAGTAGTTAGTGAAGCAGCTCGTTAAGTTTTAGGAAAATAGCAGGGATTGATTCAACACACATACTGGGATTACATAAACACCCATCAATGTATGCATATCATGTTTTCTCCATTTAATGTATCGGCTATAACCTGAGCTTTAAGGACCATTTGTGATATCCTTTGTAACAAAGCGCTTAGCATAACACACAAACCAGGTAGACAGGAAACCTCCCCCAACTGCGCCACTGTCCTCTTTTTCTGGTCCACACCTTCACCCCTGCCTCTTTCCTTTCATCTTCGTCCTGTTTTCCTCCTCTTCTGTCGACTGTTATATAAAGTGGTCTGTAGTGGGCTTGACACAGCAGAAATAAAGAAATATAACAGGAAATTACAAGCTTCATCTTGAAGCCTTAGCTCATATAACACATTTCTTCTTTGAGGTCTTGCAGATTAACAGACCTTGTTGTTGTTGTTGTTGTTTATTATCTGCAATTAAATCTCCAGTTAAGTTAGCTGAGCTAGAATTAGTACACTAGAGACATTTAAGCTGATTATCCTATTTGACATTTTAATCAGTTTTTTTTTTAGGGGTGTATGCCGTGCTGTCAGTCAACTGCAGCACTCTAGTTTTTTGGTTCATGTGCCATATGGCTTTTTATTCCAGCTTCTCTTAAGCAATTAACCTTGGAGCTATCATATCAGATTGATCTCAATTAGAGCTTCATTACAGCTTCATTCCACAATACAGAATATCATTTTTACAGAACAGTGTTTTATTCTTTTTATGACTCTGGAAAAAGGCTGATCAGACAAGAACAATTATGACTATTGAGACCACTGTTGAATGAATTTGAACAAATGGTTACCCCATTATTAACACCAATGTATTGAAGTGTTCTGAGAGTCCCACTCCTTCCATCTTTTCAATTCATTGACAAACATATCCGCTAGAAAAAATGAAAAGAGTGAAGAGAAACTTTACAGCATATTTATATTCTTTCTCTCATTAGAAGGCCCAGACATGTTGTGCTTCTTTGCAGCAGTGTATTTCAACAGATAATGCATTCTCTCTTTGGGTTTGAATAATTTTTTTAATTTTTTTTGTGTGTGTGTGAAATTTACCCCCTTCGTTTTTCAGCTCCTCATTAGCATTCGAACAGTGTTTCTTCTACATTAAAGTAGAGGCTGATTTATTCCAAAATTTATTAATTGGTTAATTAATCTTGTTGAAACAGATGCTTTAGGTTGTAATCCCCCATGCCTTGGGCCTGTCGTAAAAAAACAAGCCTGTCCTTGAATCTCATTTCTTCAAATCCTACTTGTCATTCTTTGTCTCACATAATTTGATTTTGAGCCTTGTTGTGGCTTAGAATAATGGCGGTCATCAAATGATATCCAATCCTTTGTGTCAGGAGCATTACTTCTCATCAATTCTGCCCTCCCCTGATAATTTCTAAATTTTTTTTTTATAGTTTCTCTCTCACTGCATTTGTTTGTTTGTTTGTTTGTATCAGCCTTTCTTAGGCGAATCTTTCTTTCACAATCTACACCACGCTTTCCTCCAGGTCTCTTGGATTGACGGTCATGCTACTGTTTGAGTTTGAAGTCGAGTTAGAGTTAGAGTTGGAGGAGTTGTTAGAAGTAAAGGCATGTAGATAGTTTTGCGTTAGGCCGTTGCCGTACTGCTCGCTGCTACCTGTGCTGGATGTGCTGGTGGTGGAGGCACAGTGAACAAGCATGCCATGTAGCGACTGCTACGACGGGTCCAGATGACACTCAGCCGCTTGGCGTAGCCGTAACACGTGGTAGTGGTGGTGATTTCACCCACATCAAAAGAGCAGCTACGCTTGGTTTTTAGTGCCTGCCTCAAGTCTGAGCCTCCTTCCCTTCCGTCATCTCCATCTTGTTTCAATGCAAGCGAGGCCGAGGCTCTCTGTCCATGTTTTCTGTCTTTCTCTAGAGGGCTTCCGCAACTTGAGCCTACCTGCTCGCTTTTGTGTCGGAATGGGCAGTGTGTTACTTGGGGAGTAGAAGAGTGTCAATCTCTCACTTTCTGGTGTGAGAGGACTAAAAGATTTTTCCCTCACTGCCTCGTCACCCCTATCATGTGTGCCATGGTGTGGCTCTGGCTCTGTTTGGGTTTTGAGAGAGAACTGTGCTTGTGTTTGTCTTTTGTTCTTTGGGCCAAGACTCCGTTTGGCAACCGCCACCATCATCATACTGTTGTTTCCATTTGTCTGGGCGTAAACATCCACCCCTTTGGCTGGAAAGAATTTGCCGGGCCTGTTGGCATCATCCCGACACTCTCCGCATACGCGATGGCGCACCATCATGGCCACGGTGAAGACCAGAAGGGTTACTACCACCACACCACCCACCATCACAGTCAGCGTGCCGCCCAGGAAGTGAGCGTGCAGAGAACGGCATTCTGGATAATCCTCTTTAGTGCTGAACTGGATTGCAGCCCAGCACCTTTGTAGTAGCCAAGGAGGAGATGCCATCATCGAATATGGCCAAGACACACAGGCTGTAGTCTGCTCCTGACACCAGGTTTTTCAGCAGGAAGCTATTACTGTTTGGAGGCAGAATTCTGTAACCAAATAGAAAAAGGAGAGACTTTTTGAGAAACATTATATTGAGGAGAAATACAGCAAGCACAATAAGGTGAACTTGATGGATTTGTAGTGAAAATGGCTTAGACCAATACCCTGCAATGAAGGGGATTCAAGAAATGAGTAAATTAATAAGAAACTACAGATGTTAATGCGGCAGTCTGACAAGCAGTTAAGCATTTTTACATTAAGCTGAGAGGTTGCTGACATGCTTCTTGCCTGAAGGAATCCTGCCCACAACTAGTCTTTACAATCTGGCAGAAACGGTGTCTATACAGTACTCTTTAATAAACTTCATTGACTGTCCACTGCATTTGCTTTGGCTGCTTGGTATATGCGTCTGTAATGAAAATGCTTTGGATGGGCTACACATGATTCAAGTTCTTTTAATTCACTTTACTTTGAGAGGCAAATTGGCGTTTACAGCAGAAGGACCTTGAACAATTTTAATCTCCTTTGCTCTGGTTTCAATAAGCTATTTCCTCTTTCCTCTTCAGATTCAATAAGCTTTTGCTCAGATTCGTCAATTTTATTAATGTATTTACTTTTTTTGACTACCCTATATCTTTCCTTGAGTATCAACCTCAGTAAAAAGGTGTGTGTAGTGTTTTTGTGCTGCACTTGAAGGAATCAAATACAGTGTTCACATTCAAGTTGATGACTTATTTTTGAGCTCAGTGTGTTACTGCATATTAATGAGATATTTGCATGCTTATCTGCATATAAAATTTCACAAATCTAATGGATCATTTGAATTACAAGCTTCACAGGAAACGTCTTAATGATATGCTGTTAATAAAGCCCTTGATTTTCTCCATGATTCGTGCTGGGCAATGATTTTGAAAAAATATTTTAAAATATAATTCTCCCGTTATTTCTATAGAAATGGTTTGCATTTTGAGATCAGTTTAGGTCAGATGTATGATAGGGATTTTTTTAACCTGAACCATTTCCTCAACTTTTATATTTAAAGGGTCATGAAACTAAACTAAATTTTCTAGGTGTTCTAAGTTATATGTTGAACATCATAGAAGACAATGTTACCATACATTAGTTTTAATACTAGTTAATTTTAAGCTTCTTTGCACTTTTCATCTTCCGGGTTTATAAATATACATTTATTTTAAAAAAAAAAAAATCAATTGCAAAGCTGTGCATTAAATTATAGTTGTCACAGGATATGTAGTATGTATTTGTGTAATTTACGGTGAGCTTACAAAACCATGTATAATATATGTATATATGGTGTTACGTGTAATTGTAAATTGCAACATGCATTTGTGGGAAGCTTTGATGCTTTTAACTCAATGAGAGGGAAATATTGCTGTGTTGTTGGTCCCTCTTCCCCATTCACTCTGCATCTCACCACAGCCACTTTTGTAGCATTTTCAAAACTGTGGTGAGAACTGACTGGTGCAGAAACGGCAACGATCCATGGGCATGACGTCTGATGCTGAGACTAGCCTTGCTGTTACCATGCATTTGTTCTTTGGTTATGACATTATGCCACAAATATTGTCAATAGTGCTTAACTTGTATTGAATGTGGAGCATGAATGTGCAAAAAATATCTAGGAAAAAGTCTATCTCTGTTGTTAAACGATGCAGTCAAGGTGGCCAGTCAAAGTGTAATGTCTGTCTTCTGGCCTTGAGTGGCTTACTGTGTTTACTCTTACAGATTCCTGCATGTTAATGGGAATAGCTGTAGTAACAGGTCCATTATGAAGATGCCTGGCCTTCCACTCATCCACTTCTCTGCCTGCCATCACTCAGCAACTGCTGCTACTTCTGTTACCTTCATCCCCCTCTCTTTAGCCCATCCTCCTTTATCTATATTTATTTCTCTCCTTGTCACACAAACATGCCCCTCACCTTCACCATGCATTATTGATCCCAATCCTTAGAAATCCCACTGCTCCTTACTTTTGTTAAGCCGTCCAAGATATGTCCTAACCATGCCAGAATGGGTTCTTGTGTGCGCATGTGCAGTGAATATTTTGCATTTGTAAGCTCCCTTCTGAGTAATTGAGTGTTTATAGCTGAAGAGCTCTAGGAAGGTTGCAAAGGGAAAGGAAAAGGTAATGAGAGGAGAGAGTGAGATAAACAAATTGGATCATAAAAGGAAGGCTACCATGGAGGAATTTCTTTGTCTGAAGTAGGATTTTTTTTAAATTCAAACTGAGTTGTTTGTGCATCCGGATACTGCTGCACAGTATATAAAAAGTAATAAAACACATCCATATCCGTGATCAGTAGCTGAACAATACCCAGATGATGTACTGCATCTGCTAAGATTCTGAGGTGTGCAAACAGTGGACACTTCATTATCCCTTGAGAGAACAGGAGCTGATGCTGTGTCAGATTCAAAAGATAATAATGTCCAAAAACTGTGAGCCAGGTGTTTGTTTGTTTTTTTGAAGTGCAAGTACTGCTTGTACCAAGAAATTTTTTCCTGATAAAACAACAGCCAAATAAATAGTTTTCTTGTTCATTGTTAGTGTGTCACAGGACACGGAACACAGGACAACATGTATTTATACTATAAACCTGCATGCCAAAAGAACATCGTTGAGAAGTTCTTCACTAAATTTAGTACAAACTATAAATGTATGGGAATTTGGATACTAGTTATGTGTGGAACTACTACGACTCCTCCCAGCTGTCTAAGAAGAGTCAGTGTAAGCAACTCCCACAGCCCTTCCCATGTGACCTGCCCCATCTCTCTCTATCCCTTTCTTCCTCCATTTAGATCCATTTCACTCTTCCTGATTCGCTGTGACACCATCTTCAAATGTGTAGGTTTTGCCCTTTTAAAGGGTCCATCCTGTTTTCCCCAGAGTCAGCAGGTCCTCTCACTCAAGTGCTCTGCTTTATTTACCCCTCCCTGGCTATAAATAGCTGCCTGTATCTGTTTTAGCCTCATGGCTCTACTTCTCCCATCTGCTTTGGGATATTTTCATCAATATCTGAAGCCTATAATCCATGAACATGAGCATCAAGGATGTTTACTTGAAATGCATGAAAACCAACACATCATTTTCTTTTCTTTTTTTGTCATAAGTGCTACCACAATACAAAAAGGTCTTGCTGCGAGATCAAGAAACATGATATCCTTACCTATAAACAAGTGCGTCGTCAGCAGTGCTATTGTACTGGATCTGATACATCCACACCAAGAAAGGCATTGAAGATCGACCCATTTTCCAGCGAATCTGAGCTGAATTGGATGTCACGCCTAAAACTGCTACCAGGGTTTCTTTTCCTCCATTACTGCTTCCGCTTCCTCTTTCTCCAGTATCTCCCTTGCCTCCAGTGACATTCCGTACAGTCACCACACCAGTCCCTGCCCCTTCAACCCCTCCCCGCCCACTGCTAATATCAGATGATCCAGGGTCTCTGTGGTTGATAAGAGATATTGTACCATTACCTCTATGGGGAAGAGGGATGATCTTCAATTCTACCAGAGCTGTAGATTCCCCTGCAGCATTAATGGCAATGCACGTATAGGTGCCATCATCTCTGGCACGGGTCACCAAAAAATCCAGTGTGCCGTTGTAGTACGAACAAATGCGACTGGAGTTGGCCACAATACGGTCATCTGGTGACACCCAATGAATAACTGGCTCAGGGTCACCAATGGCTCTACATTTAAGTGTGGCTCTTTGACCCTCCAACACCCACAGCTTGTTGGTATTGCGGGTGATCAGTGGTGGCTCACACGTGAACTCTTCCTCAGGGATGGACCAGAAGTAGCGACCCGCCAGATGAGCAGGTGTGGCACACGTCTCCATGTCATCTTCCCGAATTAGTCGTCGTAGCCACAACAGCTCACAGTTGCAGTGCAGGGGATTTCCCCCAAAGTTAAGGCTGGTGATGGAATTGTATGGTGTTGGACTGACAACCCCAATCTGGGATCTGGAAAACAGTGGATCAGGGGGAAGAGTCTGCAATCTGTTCGAGGTCATATCCAGTCGAGACAGTTTGAAGAGCTCACTGAAAGAACCCTCAGCAATCTGGTCTATTAGATTGTGATCTAGATTTAAGGTGTGCAGGCTAGCCATATTCTGTATAGATTCCCAAGGAACCCTGCGTAGGTTGTTGTAGGAAAGGTCCAGATCTTCCAGAGTCAATAGGAAGTCATCAAAAGCATCCACCGAAACATCTGTGAGCTGGTTGTTGTTGATGATTAGATGCTGAAGGTTAACAAGACCTGTCAGATCCTGAGGTCCCACCACTGTGAGACGGTTGGTGTCCAGGTGAAGTGAACGCAGACTCTCCAGATCAGCAAAGGCCAGTGGTTTTAGAGAATGGATGGTGTTGCGTGACAATGTTAAGTCAACTAGTCCTGTCATATTAGCAAAGTCTGCACCTCCCACTTCCAAGATGTAGTTGTCAGCAAGACGGAGCTCCACAGTGCGGCGATCAATGTTCGGTGGCACGAAAAGCAGACCTTTATTCACGCAAAGTGTGCTTAGAGACTCAGATAAGTTCCGACACACGCAGTGGATGGGGCAGATGGACACCATGCCCCATGTCTCCCCTGCCAACACACCTTGTCCGCTCCGCAGCAATACGAAGCCTAGGAGACCCAGCCAGAAAATTGTTGATTGTGGCATGGGACTGGGGTGGACATTTATTGTGCTGAAAGGGTTAGATGAAGCATAATATCTCCTTGACTGGATCCATTTTGAGTTGCCCTGTTCTTGCAACAGATCGGTTCCTCTAGATGGACTCCCTGGTTCTGTGTGTGGCATGGTAACCAGGTTGTCCACAGACCTGTGCAAAGAGAACAAATATTAGTGGCTTCAACTCATAACTTGAACTGAGAAAAATTAGGACTTTCTGTCTCCCTCAATCCAGAGACTGCTTTTCCATCCACTAATCCCCTGCACAAATGCGGTTATCCATTAATTGCCACTGAGACTTGGTGTTATGTCTAGTCACTCATCCAGTATAAGCTTGCTTCATCTAACAATGTATCAAAGAGGAGCTAACCGTGAGCCAATCTACCATTGCCAATGTCCATTGGTTCAGATTAATGATCTACCTGGAATCCTTTGTCAGTTGTTTGGATTTTAAGGCATTTATCATGTGCCCAGCAAGTGCAACAAGAACCTTAAACTTTTCCCCTGTTTTGTGAGTGAAAGAGAGACTCAATTTGGCTGCCAGGGACAAACCCCAAGATGATCAGTCACATTCTAAGTGATGAATGCCTTGGCTGTCTTCTCATCGCAGATGTGAGATTGTGTGGCTGTTGTTGTGGCTGTGTGTGCAGACAAAGTGTATCTATTTACCCACGTCTTATGTCCTTTTGTTTGTTCTCCTCTCTGCTGCTCCCTGTTCTCCTACAGGGGTCTGATTACTCCATTAACCTGATACATAACTGTCTGTGTGTGTCTGCTCTGTGTCGCACACATGGGCAGAAGCAATCCAACCAGTGCTAGGAGAGTAGGGAGCGACACAAGCTGCAACTAGTGTGTAAATGAAGTTTAATTGCTTTCACAAGAGTGAAGACCTGTGTTATCTAATGCACTAGTGTCCCTGAACATGTGAAAATGCGGGACTTGGTTTAATTAATCTATTAGTCACCATCATCAAATATGTGTTATACTGTGATGGTTTTATGCTAATGCTTGTATTTGTTGTTTACGTAATTTTGGCCTGTTCATCTCAGTCTTATAATGGCTCCAATGTCAGTCTCGTAAAGCAGTTTTTTTTTTAAATGATTGTGTGCAACCGAGAAAGGGTGAGATGAAGAGATAAGATGGGGCAGCATTGAGAGTAGTTATATTCTATAAATAACCATGTGCAATTGGCTCAAAGCTGTATGTGTGCAAATTTGCTATAAAGAATGAATACCCAGTGGAATTTAGATTCATTGTGCTGAATCTGGAATTACACACTGTAAATATCGTGCAAACAATTCACAAACCTCATGAGGTCCTACCTGCCAGCAGTAGGTTAGTTTGTGCAGGGAGGGAAAGGAGAAAACACTGTAATTTTTCATACCTGTTGTGTCTGTTTCATCAAGATTTAAAATGGTTTCCAATCCTTTCAGTTCTTTTATAGACAAACTGCCCAGCTAGTCCCATTATTGGTTCAGATGAAAATCCAGAAGTGAAACACTGTAAACACTGTGGAAATATTCAGATGTGCTGAGGGTAGATTTGTTCCTCATAGTTAATTACCAAAAATCATGATGATTTAAATTTGATCTGTGGTCAAATAGATGATCACATCATGACTGCCTTGTCATTCTTTTCTTCACCATGAGTCACTCTGCCCAGTTTCCATAATCTTCTGTGAACCTCAGTTAAAAGGAAGTTGGTATGTCTGGGTTAATTGTTTCTTGATTTTCGTAATTTTCTGCATTTCAGGAAATGCATCCAAATTCTCCTTCACTTCACAGCATTTTTAAATTCTGACTCCAGTGAAAGCTTGTTTTATTAAAATCTTCTATTTGCAAAGGTGCTTCCAGTAGCAAGTGCTTCCAATCCATTTAATCTCAGAGTCAACTGCCAAAAGAAACACAAATCCCTCTTAATAAATATTTAACCAATATTAAAAGCTCCCATTCTTTTTAAAAACAGCTCACATCAGTTTATTTTTGTTCTCTTATTTCTCTTGCATAGACTTTTAGCTCAGATGCCACATCTTAAAGCGGAAAGCATGTTGTGTATCATTCATGTCTGTTTGCTGATGTCAGCGTCTTATACTATTGAGGATCCTAAATTAATTGATTCTTCCTGTAAACTGGCGCATTAAAGCAAATAATCCAATTAGACCTGCTTTCAAGCAGACCCTGTGGGTCTGACTGAGCCAAATTTGTCTCTCTGTGTGTGTGTGCATGCACTCTTGTCTGGATGGACCTGACGTCTATAGACTCATTTTCACTGCACTATTCCCTCCTTATTGTTCTCTCTCTCTCTCTCTCTCTCTCTCTCTCTCTCTCTCTCTCTCTCTCTCTCTCTCTCTCTCTCTCTCTCTCTCTCTCTCTCTCTCTCTCTCTCTCTCTCTCTCTCTCTCTCTCTCTCTCTCTCTCTCTCTCTCTCTCTCTCTCTCTCTCTCTCTCTCTCTCTCTCTCTCTCTCTCTCTCATATCCACCCTGAACTGTTATTCTTTCTACTCTGTCTTAACTAACCAAATTTCTGTCTCCACTCCTCCTCAGCCTTTCCTAAATACCTAAAGGGTAAAGGCAAACATATACCTACCTTTTTTATTTCCAAATTCCTGCTTGTCCATCCGAGAGAACTGCTGCCTTTTCCAGGGGTTCCTTTCCCTCTACATCTCAGGTTTGTCCAAGAGGGATTTCGGGTAGCATCCTCACACCTTGTTTCTCTCCCGACCGCTTCTCTTGTTTTTACTTTTGCAAACGGTCCCAGGAAACCCTGCCCACAAAGTAGGCAACCATTACCTACAGCCACGAAGAAGCTTTTATATAACAGTGCTGTTGAGTCCCAGCTGATGTTGCATATTACCATCAATCAATGCCTTGTTTTTGCTTTTTCGTCCTGCTCTGTATTCTTGAACTGCGCGAGTCTGTGATTTGTTGGGTTTGATGCAGGGAGCAAGCCGATGCGAGCGTTTGCGACTGCAATGTGTCTGCCACAGCAAGGGCAGAGTGAGCGGGAGGGAGCGGGAGGGAGGGAAGAGAGAGAGAGAGAGAGAGAGAGGGAGAGAGGGAGAGGGAGAGGGGGGGAGTGGTGTGGTGTGGTAGAGCCTAAAGCAGTCTTGGCTCTCGGTATGAGGAGAGAGATGAAATGCAAGGGTAAAAAAGGCAGAATGAGAGTGCATTGGCAGACAGCGGTGTAGGGCTGGATGTGGAGAGGAATTGCCCAAAGCTATGTCCCTCTGACAGTACATTTTTAACAGCAGGGCATCATTGGTGAGCAGGTACACTGAGAACTTTTGTCACAAATGCTCCCATAGAGTCGATCTTCACCTTATGTAAATGTCAATTCATTATATATCATTAAAAATGGATACTAAAAGAGGAGCTGATTTTGAGAAATCTGTTAAACATATATGTGTTGTTGAAGGTGTTTAACTTTGAATTCTGGTGGTGATTCTGATGCCTTTGACAGGATTTGACGTCTCCACCCCATCCCCAAAACAGCATAGTTGACTGTCAGAATTGTTTTTCGTATTATGATATATAAAAATATAAAAAATAAAATGTGTAAAAATGAAATAGATAAACTTCCAGATATAAATAAAACAGTAACCGCTTTCACAATAATGTTCAATTTGTTAACTAATAATGGGCAAGTTTTAGCAATCTAGGTATGTTAATTTAAAAATACACTTTAAATTAATTTAATTTAATCCATGTTTATTCATAATACATGAAGTAATATTAACGTATAAAACTTGAAAGGTAATAATGTATTAGTATACACTACTGTTTTAAAGTTTGGGATCGGTAAGATTTCTTTAATGTTTTTGAAAGAAGCCTCTAATCCTTAGGCTGCATTTATTTGATCCAAAAATACAGTAAAGCAATAATATTCTTGGGCCCATCCTGTTTTCTTTATATATGTTGCCTTTAGGGGCTATTATAGGAAAGCACAATCTGTCGTTTCACTGTTATGCGGATGATTTGCAATTTTTTTTGCCTATGAAACCGAATGACAGTGTCGCACTAGACTCCTTACTTGGTTGTATTAGTGATATTAAGTTGTGGCTGTCACAATTTTCTTAATTTAAACGAAGCTAAAACTGAGTGTATCATCTTCAGTAATTCTGGCACCCAAAACGGCCCTTTCAAACCTTTCTTTGAGGCCATCTTTTGTTTGATGTAGGCCTTGTGTGTCAGGTCACGTAGCTGCTGAATTGTCATTGTGCCTGGGCAGGCCATGATGCCAAGATGATGACTCAATCCAGGGTGCAGGTTTCTCAGGAAGAGGGTTTTGAAGTTCACCTCCTCTTCAAGTTCAGGTTTGCTATGTGCACCTAAGTAAGCTTGTCGAAAGCGGTGGTAGTAGGCTTGGGGAGTCTCTTGTCGACATTGTTTGGTTTCCAAGGCGATTAACACACCGTGTTCTGACTCTGGACCTGTAAATTCTTTAATCAGTGTCTCACGTAGTAGCTGGTAGTTTGACATGACATTAGCAGGTTGTCGGTCTAGAAAGCTTCGTACCTCTGGACTGGATGTGGATCTGAGGAGGCATAACCTGTCTCTGTCAGTCATATGGGGTCTCACCTCTAGGTGGAAGTCGATATCTCGGAGGTAGGCCTGGATGTCGGGACCCTCTGTGGAGTTCGGGTTGAACTGAGTGATATTCTTAACCAGCTGGTTGAGATCTTTAAAGGTCATCCCATGTTCAGCTTTGGAGTCTGCCTGGATGGGCTCTCTTCGTTTGTTAGCAGGGAAGAGTTCTGTGGTGAAGGCCGGTGACGTTTTGGGTTGTGGCCATTCACTTCTTTCACTGTATGCCAGTTCTTGGATGGAGGACTCTGTTCTGCTCAGCAGGGGTGATGCTGAGGGAGGTCTCTCCCTTCTTGGCTCTGGTTTCTGTTGGAAAATGTGCTGGAGTTCATCTCTGACTGCGTAGAGCTCATCGTTGGCGTCGTCTCGCTGTTGGGTCAGATGGTCCATTTCAGCGCTGCACCTTTCCAGGTGGTCTTTCAGAGCAGTGATTTTAGAGTTCTTACTTTCAATGTCAGCTTTGGCTTTCTCTAACTGATGTTCAGCAGACTGGAGTTGGTTTACCAGGTGTTTCTGGACAGTCTTTAACTCTTGTTTGTCACGTTCAGTGACTGCAAGGGCTTCTTGGAGCTTGTCAACTTGTGTCTTTGTTTCTTGCTCCGCTTCGTCGGACACTTTGAGTTTGTCTTGAGCTTCACCTTTGAGCTGGTCTTTGCAGTGTTGAGTGTGCATCAGCTCTCTCAGGAACTCGGTGGTCTTGGAGTCATCCTGGACTTTCACTTCAAGCTTGTCTATGCGGCTTTGGGCACGTGTCAGCTCCTCCTGAAGGTAGGTGACATGCTGGTGGCTTAGGTTTAGCTGGGCTGTGAAGGCATTGCTTAGGGAACAGGTTATTTTGGTTAGTTCCACATGGTTTTGGTTTTGGCTTGAATCGTGTGTCAGGAATCTTCTCAGAATTATGATTATTATTAAAAATAATAACAGTTCAATTGTCTTTGGTGTGAGGCAGTCTGTAATGCCTCTGAGCCAGGCGTCCACGTCTTCCCGTTGGGCAGTGGGGTTTGTCGTCCACGACATGTTGGCACGCTTGGTGAAGAGACTGACACAGATCTGTGTGTATAAGCCTATATGTGGTTGAACGGCTAAGTGTCGTTTCAGTAATTGTACATCAATAGTGAAGTTTCGTGATGACTAAGTGTTGGTCTAAGTGTACACAGTGAGGCTAGTGATGCGAAGATCTCGTCACTCAACTGGGTAAAGTAAAGAAAAAGAAAAAGGTTAAAACAAATCTCAAATGGAAAAAGCTTTTTTTTTTTATAGGGGGAAAATATTATTTTTGTAAATATTTCCTATCACTGAAAAGCTGGTTTCAACTCGTGATGTGAGGACTTCTTCGCTCAACTGAGTAAGGGAAAAAGAGAGAAAAGTTAACAACCAATTTCAATGAGGGAAAAACAAAAAGAAAATTATTAACTATGGGAAGTATTAATTTCTCATAGATGTTTCTTATCAATGAAAAACAAAAAAAATCTGTTTCCAGAAAGGTAAACAATATTATTGCTTATGTTTGCAATGAAAAATACAACAATAATAATGCGGATACCTCTTTTCTGAGTTTGACCGGATTGACACACACACCTTCAGTTGGACCGCTTACAGCAGAGTTTACAGCAGGGATGCTTTGAAGGCGGAGTTTGCTACGCACTTGTCTCTGTTACTTGATCTTGGATAAGATATCAAAGTTTAAATTGCGTTTACAAATGCAGGGAGAGTATGAAGACACAAGAGGGTTTGATTAAAAATCAAATACCTAATAATCTGTTTGTTGGGAAAGATTATCTTTGTCTCTTTTTAGAGTCGATTGATGGTTCTTCCAGGTTTGTTCCCTACAAATGTGAAGAATAAGGTGGAATAAAGCAGGACAGAACAGGAAAGACGTGATGAGGAAGAAATGAAGCAAGGAGGTTGGATCCCGCTACCTTTAGGTCTACCACGAGTATAGAATTGATAGTTGAGGACCAACTAAACACACAAATAAACTTTTGTAAAAGACGATTGTCTCTGGTTTATTTGAAACTCGTATGGAGATGGTAATGTCCCCTATTGAAGCGTCCCGAAAATGAATTAATCAAATATAGTGGTTAAGTTTATAACCAACAGGACGAAAGGATAAAACGCAATGACAATAATGAGCAAGTCTGAGTCTAACACTATTTTTGTAATAGTAATAACAACTTTCAAACTTTACTTTCAGAGTTCTTGAGTTTCAAAGACTTATTCACCTAAAGTGACTAGATCTCAACGAGAAATGTAAAAATGATGTAATTAGAATTATTAGAAAAATAAATCTAGAAATCATTAGAAATTATCTGTCTAGAAAAGGTAGAATTTCAATTTTGTTTAATATTTCCTTGTTCTTTAAAACAAATTCGAAATTTGACAATTAATAATCATAAACCAGTATTTTCCTTTTACTTAAAGTGTGAGAAAGGTAAAATAAGAAAAACAAGAAAGGACCAACAGGTGTGAACGTCGAGGTGTCTAAATGGTTAAATCACTTTAACGTTTTTCAAACAGACACTGTAGTTAACCGCTGGGGTTAGTATTGATAACAGTAACTGATGCTAAAGGCTTTAGCACAGGCGTCAATGCAAGCAACGGCCTCTCTTAGCTTAGCGTAGCGTTTGTTTACAACGAGGGTTGGGTCAGAGTTCACCCGGAAGCGTTGGCTAAGACTTCCGTGTCACGATCGTAACTATAGCGACCAAACGAACGCTAGTGGGCGAACAGGGAATTGCAGACAGTTGGAAAACAGTTTGTTAGAGTTCCATGCAATATGGGAGCATTTCAACAATGTCCACAGAACATGCATGTACAGTAACAATCGATCATTTTACGGGAAATGTCGGCGCATTTCACACTGTTCAAATAAGATACACCACTCGTAGCTGGGTTTACGACGTGGGGCTTCACTCAATTTGTTTGGAGTGATATTAACTTTAAGCAAGCGACAGCTTTGCGTTATAATAGATGGAACGATGGGAAAATAGCGATCTCGGGCGGATCGTCTCTGTGCAAGTTTATCTGGGCACACAAACAACAGGGCTCTTAACTGTTGGCTCAGTTTCAATGTCAAGATTCACTTGAACAAACTTGAAATAACTCCTATTCAATTACACTCGGACACGCGCAGTGTTTGCACGATAAATAATTGAACAGACAACAGGATATTAATCCCATACCATACAAGCAAACATAGACAAACAGCTGTTTATTACTGGGATTGCAATGGAACACGCATTGACAATCAGATAAATATAACTGCTTCTATGTTTATCACGGATCGCAGTGGAACACGCACTGTGAATCGGATACAAATATATAACGTTAGATGAACACGCTCGTCGCTCTGTGAGGAGAATATTTCAACTTACAGGGTTATTTTAATTACTGCAGTTTGATTTCGTTCAGCCCTCTAACTGATATAAACACACACACACAACGTTATAGCCCTTCTAAAAAGACTCTGGAACACGCAGACGTCGATCAGCTATAACGAGGTATTTCTGGAAATGAGGAACACGCTCAATTCTTACCTTATCGTAGTGTGAGGTTTCATATCTTATTTACTGCATGTAACAAGAAAACAAATAGGGCGGCAGACTAGACTTTTCAGCTTTCTCTGGGAGCTTCACTCACAGACAACAGCAGCAGCATTCATTCAAACGGCGCGCGCTGCGCGCTCTCCATACGTCACACACAGACTTTCAGAGGTTCGGATCTCGCATCCGAAACAAAATGAAAAGATAAATCTTGATATATGCTTACAATTTAGGTTGAACTGCCCGCATTCTCCACCAATTATGTAACGAATCACACAATAATAATATACATAAAATGTATTTAAGGGGGGCCGGAAGGCCAATTTAGCTCAAAAGGAATGATTCATCGATTTGCAATGAATCTTGACCGAATCACTATGGAACCGAGCAAATGACTCGTTTAGAGTTCATTTGAACGGGCCGTAATTATAACCTTGGCAACAGATATGAATATCCAATCTATAGTGAAACACTATGTATTAGCAAGGTAACTTTAGATCGACAGTACAAGACATTAAATGTGCAAGCACAACACAAATATCTTTTCAAATATATTGACGACTTTATTAACTATTCTAAACACATAAAACTAAGGTCTAAACACAATCACACACACGCATTCATACAAGGCGCAGAGGAAGAGAGAGAGAGAGAGAGAGAGAGAGAGAGAGAGAGAGTGAGTTTTCAGAGTGAGATGCACTTTGTAAGACATGACCTGAACGAACCACCAAGCATTAATTTAAACCTTCGTTTCTTAGACAGGTTATTCAATTTACATTTGCACCAGTTCCGTTAAGAGTCTGGAGTAGCTGCTACTTGCTTGTCTTTGCGTTGCTTAGGGTGTTCCCTTTTTGCGGTGCTTCGTCAAAGGGGTTTCCCGACCGGGTCCGTGTGGCTGGTTGTCTTTGAAGTGCCTGGATGGAAGTTTCTGAACAGCCGGTCACGTGTGATTGGCAGGCGAATAAGAGTCTTTACAGTTCGAAGCGCGTTGCAGGAGAGACGTTTAAACGAACTTCGCAGCAACTTAACGTTGAACCGAGACTTTTATGAAAAAAGAAAATAAAGGAAGAAATGAAAGTAAGATGAGTTAGATGGCTTGAATGAGCTGTTTCAACCCCGATCTTGATGGGTTATTTGTCTGCTGGTCTAATTTGGTCTGGTCGATGTAGAAGCGTGCGAACACGCTCTTTGTTGTTTTCAGAGAGAAGCACGAACAGGAACACTCTCTTGCTGTTGCTAGAGAGAGGCGCAAAACTTAATTCAACACCGAACCGAACTCAAAACCGAACGGCAACCCCGAACTGCTCTCTGAACCGAATTTCTTTTTCAACAACTCTAACTCCTTTGTTCGGGTCTTTAACTTAAACGTTAGTCCAACCTCTTTTAGAGAATTCTGACCAATGAGACAATGGCATCATTTTAGGAGGTGGATCGTTCCTACTTATCGTTATCTGGGATCTGCTTGGGTTCCAGCACTTAGCAGAGAACAAGAGACCCCAGTTTAAACATTATAGATTATTATAATCATACAAAACATTTTACACAGATTTCAAACAAGCCACCTTTTGAATTAAGTGCATACGATTCTTTTGATTGGAAGCACGATACCCTTTCATCCATACACACAGTTATATCACAATTACATGATTTATATGTGATCTACGCATAATACAAACATGAATTGTAGGAACAACAAGAATTATGATGTTTGATTAAGTCCACGGAGCATTGTTCTGCGTGAGTTTTAATGGGTTTGATATGTAAAGTCTGTGTAAGTCTCTCACGTTCCATGGAAGCGTGGTCTGTCTTACATCGCTGTCCTGCTCAGCAGTGGTGATGCTGAGGGAGGTCAAAGGTGGTCAGGCCCCTTGGTGGTCAGGCCTCGTCTCACCATTTCTGAGCAGCTTTGTCTTGCTTAAGGATGAAACAGTGACAACGTTCTTCCTGTTTAGGCTTATCTCTGATGCCTGCGGGGCCATAAAAGACTTCTCTGGGGGGTTTTCTAGACAATTTGGAGCCAGTCTTGTGACTTTGGAATGTGGTATTCAGATCCGAAATGCTGAATCACATTTGAATGAATCCCATGAGAGATTAGAAAGATTAATTCGTGTTTGGTTCATCCTTAAAGTCTCTACATCATTACTATTGCAACACACAATAAACAAAAGAGAATTAGGGCAGACGAGACATGGACCTGTCGGGTGAAGGGCCCCCTTCTCCAGACTGGCTCATGAAACACCGTCTTCTTAAACGCACCACACAGCAAAGGTTGCAAACATCACCCGCCTAGACAATTATTTAGGGTAGCTGGGCGAGCCTGTTGGATGGGGGGCTAAGACCCACTCCCAACTGGCCCACACCCTGGCTTTTTAACGCACAACACAAGATAGGATACACCTCATAATTAAAATGAATGTTGCAAATGTATGGTAATGACAACAAGGTAATAACAAGAAATAATGTGTATAAGAAAAAAAAAGGAATTTTT